TCATAGCTAATATAGGCGATTTAGGGGATTACATCAATTGTAAAATTGGTCAAACACCGCAATTGTTTCACTCGCCAAATCGGATATTCCACTGCCCCTGGAAACGCTCACCCACACAGTGCTCCTTGGCACAAAGGAGCGCAGGACGAGGTCCGAATCCTCGGGCAGCTGTTGAGTTTCCCTTTGAGAGGTCCTCGTAGCCGGGCATTGTCCATCGCCGCTTTCGTCCTAGTTACACATATGCATACTCGTCCTGCGGACAAATGTATCTCATGGATTCGAATGCTCCGGACCCCTTGTTCAATGCCTTGTAATCGCTCCTGGCTTACCGCAGATTATGCAAGCCGCTCTCTTTCACTTCCCCCGTTAAACCATTTTCCCATCGCATTGATTCATTTCCCTGGAAAAACTATGCAAAATCTCTGCTGCAATCTGGCATCAGCCCAAAGTCCAGTTCCGTTCCGAGGTGTAAATCTTCAATTTTAAGGTTAATTTCTCGGCGAGGTGCGAGAAATGCGAAGCGTTTTATTGGTTTAGTAGAGCAGTCAGAGGCGTACGGTTAAGATCGTCCACAAACCGCAGACTTACGGGAAATAGGGGTATTTTTAATGTACAAGGACTTTATATGTTTGAAAGCCCATATTACAGAATCGCAACTAAGGTAATATATGAATCAAACTTTTCTTAAAAACAAACTCAAACCCCTTCAGAGCGAAAATAAAACCCGAAAATAAAAACAAAATCCTAAAGCACCGCAACCATTTTGCAAGCTCATTAAAAATTAAAAAAACAGCGGTAAAAAAGGACATACGGCAACAAGCTGAGCTTGCACTCTGTTTCCATCTCTTTTTCTCTGACCTTTCCACTCTGCACTATTTGCATCTCTGCATTTCCCTCTTTCTCTCAGCGCTTTTGCACTTTTTGTTTTATATTTTATTTTTGCACATTTTGCTGGATTTTCAAGTTTTTTTTTTGTTGTTGTTTAGCTTAGTTCGTTCTGCTCTGCTCTGCATTTACAGTTAGTCCACTCTGCCGCCTCCTTTTTGCCTCCCCTTTTTTCACCGCTTCTTTGAGTGTGTGTGTTTGGTCATGCTTGCATGGCCTTTGAATGGAAATGAACAGAGGTGAAAAAGGAGCAGAGATAGCTGAGGAGATAAGGTGAAAAGGAAAGGGGGAAATCAGTACAGAGAAACATTTTTTTTTTCTATGAGCACTTGACGTTAATCCTTCTATTCTTCTAAAAGGAAATGTTTTGATTTTCTTTTAAAATGGTTGGCATTACAAAATATATATTTCATTAAATATTTTAATTTTTCTTAGCTTATTTCTATCAGTGTATAAAAGCTGCATAGGCCGATGCCGTTTTGTTTGTTGAATGTCCAGTTTGTTGTTGTTTGTGCTTCTATTTTCTGCCTCTTTTCGTTGCATTTATTTATTCAACTAAATGCAGATTGCACATTTCTGCATGTGCCGTTCATTTTGCTTCTAGTTAATAACGGTGCTTTTACTGCTTTTTGTTAAGGATAATGATGATAATCTGTGCTATTCTGCTTTTTAGCCTACGGCTAACAATATTTTTGGTTGTCTTTAAGTAAGTAGAATAAATATGTACACAATATACACTCAGTAGAAGTGTATTTAAATTTACACTCCCATTATCCCGAACAAATATTATTGACTTCCAATGTTCCCCTTCATTCGCTTACTTATCCAAAAACGTATATTCAAAGGAAAATATCTAATCAACAAAGAACGGATATTTGCATATCGATTTCCTTACAAGAGTCACACAATGAGCAAGTTTATCTGAAAATGCAACGGCAATGGCGGCCATAGTCCTTCAAGGATGCCTTAAATCCTCCCTATGCTCCCTTGCTGATTCCCCGAAGAGTTGTGCTTTTGTGGGATTTTGCAGCTGCAACTGCTCAACTCCAGAAAAAGCAGCCATAGCAGCGATGTGCCGTGCCATGCCAAAGAAAAGGTCCTGGGACCGTTGTCCTGAAAGCGGAAAGGGGAGGGAATTAGTGGAGCTGGTGGAGCAGGAAGACAAGCGCTCACAGAGCAAACAAAGTCAAGAAAGCCTTGCAGTAGACGGAGATATCATCAAAATGAATATGAGATTATATTTGACTAGTGCGGGCTTAGCGATGTGCAGGGGTTACAAATTAAACGAGTAAGAAAAAGTGCACAGAAAAAATTATTAGGTAGCATAATGTACAATATTGTTGGTTGAACATAGTTTGTATAAAAAGTAGTAGACCTTTCGAGATCAGTGTGAGTTTTGCATTAAAAAAACTCTTAGGTATGATGATCATATTCTCTCTGATTATTTTTTAGTTAAATTCTTAAATGAATGTAATTATGATAAATTCTGTTAATTGGATTACGGCAGAATTATTTTCTCTGCACATGGCAAGAATGAACGAGATTCGAGAGGGGTAGAGAGTTGGATAACCAGAGAATCCTTGCCCGCTGGCGGGCTAAAGGTGAGCAAACAAAGACGCTGATAAAACGAAATGCCAAAACGACAATTGAAACGCCCAACAAAAGGCAGGGGCTTTCCAGGAGGGGCGATGCTGCGGAGGGGGTGCACTGGTGAAAAGTCAACTCGAGAGGGATCCACGAGACCGGTGGCTGCCATTTTTTGGTGTCTGCGCCTCATCCAAATCAAGTGTGAACGGAATACGGCCAAAGGTGGCCGCTCCACCGCTCTCTCTTTCTGGCACTCCAGCCTCCGTATGCACCCCTCTCTTTCGCCGAACCTCCTCCATCCCATCACTCCTCTATGTATCATCTTCCTCGGCTCTTGAGCTCTATCTCTATATAAATATTTTAGGGGCGGTCTCTGCTCACTGCCTCTCTCTCTCGTTTTACCGTAATATTCCAATTCGACATTTTGTCTTTTCATTCATAATGCAGTCGCCGTCGACGGCGACGTCGGCGTCAGGCTATATCATCCAATCTGAACGTGATGATGAAGTTCTCCTTTTGCCTGTCGCTCGCATGAATCCATCTCGCTCTATCGCACTCGCAGGATGTCCTGCTCTCTCTGTATGTATTTCACTTCTCACTCTGGCAAATGGTGGCAGCACACAGGACTTTTAGGGGATGATTGACTACTGGGCAACCCTCAGACCGCTGCGTGTGTCCTTTTCATATTTCTTAAGGCCCGCACCGTTCACTATTTGCCTTCATTCCGCTTCGGTCGCTGATCCTGTGCTGAACGCGTCCTGTCTCTCGCGTCCTCTGATTTGCATTTGAAAAATAAACATTTTACGAAACAAGTGAACTCGAAAGACAAAAAGATCAACTCCAAACAAGTTTAAATTGTGTGTGCCAATAGTTGTGTTTTGGATCTAACAAGTGGAGATTGGCTGCCTGCCAAAGGAATTGGATATCCACAGAGGCTGCGCCGAAATATGGTTTACTTTGTACGTATTTGCATTTACGGAACTTATTTTATTATATTTTAATTGGGTTTGAAAACTCCGACGGGAATTTGGGTTTCATGTCAGTGGGTTAGGAAGAAATAATTGGGTGTTCATCGGTTGATTATCAATGTTAACTAAAGTAAAAGAAACGTGATTACAGTAACATAATATTTTTGGAAGATATAATTATTTGAACTGAACTAAAATCATTTTTTATTAAAGAGTAGTAGCTAGTCACTTTTGTTTCTATATAATTCCTTTATTATTTCTAAGTACGCAGCCTCTTTTCTTTTATTAAATTAAATGAAAACTTGTGAAGCCATATCCCCTGCTCAACCCAAGACAAAGTTCCTAAGTCTTTCCCTGTTGATTAAATATTATTCCGCACACATTGTTAATAAGCTTCATTCGGCACACACTCTTGAAGAGCAGGCTCTCAAGTGGCCACTAGAACACCAACATAATTCGGATGCTTAAACTTTACTACTTAAGCAAATACACACTACAAATATGGCAACTGGGAAACTTTCGACTCGAGGGCTGACCGTCGCTGCCTCCGGGTCAGCGTGTGAAATGGGACCCGCCTCCTTTTTAACGAGATTAAACCGCACTCTGACTTTCGGAGGGAAAGTGCCAGATGGGAGTGCTCCGGCTCCAGCTCCGTATCCGCATCCAGATCGAACCTGGACTTGCTGAGGCGTCAAATCAAGTTAATTAAAAGCGGCAAGGAAGCCGGGTAATCGCACCGGATGTCGCACATTAGCCACACTCGAGGGCACATGGGGAAGATGGAGATGGAGATGGAGTTGGAGGAGATGATGGAAGGTCTTACACCTCCAGTCGAGTGTAAGCGATTTAATGATTCGCGAATAAAGCCAAGACCCGCGCCAAAAAATATTCGCATACTCCCGGGAGTCTGTGTTATGATTGATGGCAATATGCTGAGGACGAAAGAGGAAGCACGAAAGGATTGAGGCTTTGTTTGGGTTAAGTGGAGCGTGAGTCGGGGCCAAGCACGGGTTAAATGCAAATGCGGTTTTGCATATGCGGAAATCAATTGGGAATCGGGAAGCAATATTAAACGCATTGCGGTCTGGCTTTAATTGCAACCCGCTGGCTGGCCATGAATTATCCTGCGGAAATGTCCTGCCGCTGGGAGCACGCCCTCCGCTGGCGTTTGTTTGTGTTCCCGAATTGCCAACGCATTAATCGCACTTGACTGATCACCCGATAAATAGTACGTACAGCTGAGGTCAAAACAATAGAGCTTTTGATAGCAGTTTAAATTTTGGAAGAAGATATAAAAAAATGAAAAACACTTGGTAATGGGTTATGCATTTATAGAACTTATATTTTATTAGATTGGTGTGTTTTCTGTGGGAAGTATAAGCTTTCAAAATATATTTCGGGGTGGCTTTGCTATTTATTTGTCCCCAGCTGTGGGCACACACGCATTCGTAGCTTTAATCACAAACAATGGAGGCGTATGCTTTCGATTAATTGATAGCCCGTTGCTTATTTTGCATACTCAATTTGGTCCTCCCCTTTCTTTTCCCGTTTTTATTGCAGAGTCCGCGTGGCATGCAACCGTGTAGTCCAGCGGGAGAAGTCGCAATGATGCCGCCGTCGAAGAGTCCCGTGATGGAGAGCGCCGCCTCCGAGCAGAATCCCGGCCAGCAGAGCCAGCAGGAGGAGCAGAGCGCCAAGCGGGCGTGTCCCTTGAAGTTCTCGATAGCCAAGATCATGGAGCCGGACCACAAGCCACCCAGCCAAGTGGCGCCACCAGCACCACCTGCCCCATCTTCCTTCGCTTGCAACGACGACGAGGAGGACGAGGATCCGGAAATAGATGCCGACTCGGAGCGCTCCTGCAGCCCCATCGAGGTGATCAGCCTGGACCAGTCTGAACCCTCGGTCGTCAACTACGACTCGGCCTTCAAGAAGTACGTGCCGGGCGCCACCTCGGTGGTTGCCCCGCCCTCGAATCCCTCCGCCGTGCAGCAGTTCGTGAGCTCGCGCCACCAGGAGCTGCTCTCCCAGTATCCCCTGCTCTACTACGCGCCCAACCAGCTGATGTGCGCCGCAGCCGCCGCCCAATATGCCGCCCTGACCGCCCAACAGCAGTCGCTGGCCAGCGCCGCCCACCTGAGCAGCTTCACCGCCTCCCTGAACGCCAGTCTCCACCACTCGCAGTCGCTGCGCCGGAATCTGGGTCACCCTCTGGCCGCCGCAGCTGCCGCGGCAGCAGTGGCACAATCCCAGGCGGTGCCCAATCTTCAGCAGAGCCTGGAGAAGTCACCGGTTTCGCAGCGGACAGCCTCGGGATTGCAGGGCAACCTCAAGCGAAAGCGATCGCCGCAGGATCAGGGCGAGGTGACCCCGCCACCACCGGCTGCCTCGACAGCTTCCACTTCAGCGGCTCGATCGAGGTCACCATCCCCGCAAGGATCCCTGGAGGATAGCAGCCCGGGATCGGCGAGCGGCGGCAAGCCGAAGACCTTCTCGTGTCTGGAGTGCGGCAAGGTGTTCAACGCCCACTACAACCTCACCCGCCACATGCCCGTCCACACGGGAGCCAGGCCATTCGTGTGCAAGGTGTGCGGCAAGGGATTCCGGCAGGCGTCGACGCTCTGCCGGCACAAGATCATCCACACGTCGGAGAAGCCGCACAAGTGCCAGACGTGCGGCAAGGCCTTCAACCGATCCTCGACCCTCAACACCCACTCGCGCATCCACGCCGGCTACAAGCCCTTCGTCTGTGAATACTGTGGCAAGGGCTTCCACCAGAAGGGCAACTACAAGAACCACAAGCTGACGCACAGCGGCGAGAAGGCGTACAAGTGCAGCATCTGCAACAAGGCCTTCCACCAGGTGTACAACCTCACCTTCCACATGCACACGCACAACGACAAAAAGCCCTACACCTGCCGCGTCTGCGCCAAGGGATTCTGCCGCAACTTCGATCTGAAGAAGCACATGCGCAAGCTGCACGAGATTGGCGGCGACCTCGACGACCTGGACATGCCGCCCACCTACGACCGGAGGCGGGAGTACACCCGCAGGGAGCCCCTTTCCGGGGGCTACGGCCAGGCCTCCGGTCAGCTGACCCCGGACTCCAGCTCCGGCAGCATGTCGCCTCCGATCAACGTGACCACGCCGCCGCTCTCCAGCGGGGAGACCAGCAACCCGGCCTGGCCGCGATCCTCGGGAGCGCAGTATCCCTCGGGCGGGGGCTTCCACCACCAGCTGGGCGTGGCGCCCGGCCACGATTACCCCGGTTCATCCGGCTTCCTGCAACTGCAGCCGCAGCAGCAGCCACATCCGCATCAGCAGCCGCCGCACCCGCATCCGCAGCAGAACCACCAGCAGCGCCTCTCGGAGACCTTCATCGCCAAGGTGTTTTGACAGCGGTACTACGCGGACAGCCTGAACAGCTCCACGGGATCCTCGACGACCTCGACGACGACGACCAGCTCGACGGTGACCACGACGGCCATGTCATCGGTGGCCAGTTCGAGGAGCGAGCTCCTGATCGACTGACTGCAGTTCGTGGCGGCGGCGGCCGCTGCTAGCAACTCGAATTCGAATTCCCGGGAACAGGAACCCGGATCCGGCGGATCCCCGTCCCCGGAGCTCGGATGCACGGCTCTGGGCAGCGCCGTCCGGGCGCTGAACGGACTCTTCTAAAAGGACCCACCAACCTCTACTCCCTAAGAGAAGACCGACCTCACCAGCCACCAAATGGTTTCAACTTGTGCAATACCCCCACTCCACTCAGAAGAAGAAGAATATGAAGATGATGATCCAACCGCTCAACACATTTCTAAAACCAAGAAGCATTTTGTACATAGTATCCCCTAAGAACCACTTACTTAAGCAGCTCTCTCGGTGTGTAGAAGTTAGTTAAAGGATTTACCTAGTTAGTCGCGAATGCTTACCGCTCTGAGTTCTCTGTAGACCAGCTACACAGATCCTCAAGAGCGAGGAATTGGAGTTTTTATGGGGCATCAGTCAACCGAAATACATTTAAAGGAATGTATCTTAGAGTTGTACTGCCGATCTACATCCGAACTGTACGTATATCCCTAAGTGTCTGTGTAATCCAACCCAAAAGTAAGCGGAAATTAAGAAACATTTTAACGATGATCGACGAATGCATTGAATTTGTTTAGGAATTAAGTGATATTATTGATAATGTTTAAGCAATAAATCAATTCTTCAATTATTAAAAAGGTTATGATGTTTTTTTGGGAATGAAACTTCTTCTACTGAAGAAATATATTTTTAAAGGAGTATGCAATTTCAGGTTTTTAAATATTATATATCAGTGCACACCCCTTTGAGTCCCGATAACCTCCCCACATATATGCAAATAACTGAGCAACGGAATGGGCTGCCATTGAGTTCGTCTCCCGCGATCCTTGAAAATGCAAATGGACGCCAAATGAAAACAATTATTGCTGCATTACTCGTGCCCAAGAGTCGCGTTTAATGGGCTCTAAACTGTCGCCATGTCTGCCGCATGATATTTGCAACTTAATTAGTGGCGACCATCCCCACCGCCCTCTCGGGAAAACTCCGCAGGTGGCAGGACCAGGCACACGGCTCAATCATTTGCATACCGCTTTGATCTGCTGCTCGAGAAAAGGCAAGAAATCCCGAGTGGAAATGGGTCTTCAAATGGGCATGAAACAATCCATAAAAATGCAACAAAATTGAAACGGCTTAATTAATCAAGAAATTCTGAATTCAACATTTAACAAATCAGGCAAAATATTAAATGTAAAAATTGTAGCATACTTTTTCGAGCACCTTTTTTCATTTTTCTTTTTCAGTGAAGGAAGTCATGTATTTTATTTCTGATTAAGGATATGTGTAACATTAATCGTTTAATGGTTTTTTTATAGGTTGCTCTCATTAACTATTAAGTATTTTTTCGAAAGTAGACAAAAGATCGTCACCCCAATTTAAGGATTTAGTTGACAGCTCATAAACAAGTTTTGATTTTTTAACAAATATTTATAATCATTTCGATTGCTTTACGTAATCCTGCTGATTTTGATTTGATGACATCGAAGCATTGAAAAGTGGTAGTTCCCCCGCCGGGAAGGACGCATGTGATGTCCACTTGAGTTGACATCCTTCCCCTTTTCTCTACTGCGCATATGAATAATTCAGGCCGAATCGAATATCCAAATGGGAACGAAAAGCGAAATCGAGCGATGCGACGCGCTGCTTTTTTATGCAAATAATCAAAGACGACTGCTGACGTACAGTGGGCCCTCAGCATATGCTCAAGCACACCGCCCACTGGCAGAAGGGCAGTTGACAATTCGGTTGACAATTCGGCGGCAGAAAGCCTTTGGTTGAGCCCAATTCTTTTGTATGACTTTTGACACCGCCTCGCGGCGTTCTTTTGAACCGGATGCCTCGATTCCTCGATTCCTATCACCGTCGAAGGCCAACCCCCAATTGTGAAATGGATGTGAATGGTCCTTCAGCCGTTGTCATGTTGGCCGCTCCCCCATCCGATTCCTTTTGATGTTTGCCTTATGCACGCCCAGTCGACCATTCGAGTGTCCATCTAAGCGAAGGACCCCCAAACTTCCTCCCCCTCTTCCTCACCTCTTTCCTCCTCCAATCGCACTGACACAAACCAACTTATTTGGCTAATTGAACGCGGTTGGTCGGCGGCAGCACTTCATGCAGATCTGGCCGGATAATTCCGCTCTTTGCCACTTATCGGAGCGCTTATGCATGACGCCTCGCCACTCCGGAATATCCGTTTCGGTCGCCCAGCCGGATGACAATAATTAAGCTAATTAATATCGAACTTTTACGGTTTGCGTTGAAAGGAAGCTGCTAATGAGGTGACAGGTGGGAAATTGGGGGAGTGTCAACGGAAAGGTTTCATTGGCAAACTAATTAGGAACACCTAGAACGTCTAATTGAACTTTATCTACTGAATGTCATCAAAGAAATACAAATGAATAAGTATCCATATTTTTATTGTGATTCTTGGGAGATAGTTCTCCCATCCTTGAAGTACTTTAATAACTTCCACCATTTTCCCCATTCAAAAACGCCCCCAAAACTGTTTACCCGCCATAAACAATTTCCGCAGGCGCCATAACTGTTGTGTAGTGTCCTGAAATAAGCATAATATTTTCGTCCTTTGTTTTTGGCATATCAATAACTCTTATCGGCGGTTTGGGGACCCCGTGGCACGGTCCTCCGTGCTCGAGCACGCAACAGGGGAAAGGGGCGGGGGAAAAATCCGAGCACTCGAGCTGCTCGCTGCGCACAATAAAAAATTATAATCCAATTCCATTGTCCGACGTCGAGGGGTGGGGTTGGTGGAAAATGTGGCAGACAACGACTGCGCTTATCACCCGAAATGAGGCAGAACAATAAGGACACGAGATGATGCACCGCAGGACGAGGAAAAGCAGAAGAGAAGGAGGCGGGGTTGCAAGTCGAGCGTGAATTGCAGCGTAATCTCTTCCGGATATGATTACGCCGTCGAGTGCGAGGAATTTTATGCTGTGACCTATCAGCTTTGTATCCTCGGATCTTTGTATCCCTGTATCCCCCGAATCCTCGTATCTCCGAATCCACATATCCTTGTGTCCCTTGTATCTCGCGGCTGAGCCGAGTCTTTAGCCCAGCGCAATCTGCTGTGATTACAATTTCTTAAAAAGCTAAAGCTGCATTTTCCTTTCAATTACGAGGCACCCTCGGCCCCTCTTAATGGCCATATAAGTGTTCCACCAGGCCGACAATATGCTGGCTGAGAAAAAAGAGAAGAGGAGAACAAAACAACACTTAACCCACGTTAATTGTCGACTCTCTGAACTATGACATGATCTCCTGCCACTCCTCCACATCGAAAGTGTCCCATGTCAATGGCTGGCTGCCATTAGGAAAAAAAGAGGAAGCCACGGGGCGCTCAAGATGCGAGCATTAAAATTTCTATATGAGTACTTATAGTTTCTATTTTCAGTGGGGGTATGGGTTCCCTACACTAGCAGAAATGAAGCTAAATCAAATTAACGTTATATAATGGCATAAAACTGATGTATGCGACACCTTCCTTAATATGATATTTAAAAAAAACAAGAAACAGCTAAGCTCAAAAAAGAAAACTTTCTTAAAAAACAACCATTTTATTTTTTCATTAATTTATATATAATTTTCCCCTCCTAGGAAATAAAAAAGTTACTTAAAAAATTAAAACAAAAAAAAAAAAAAAAAAAAAAAAAAAAAAAAAAAAAAAAAAAAAAAAAAAAAAAAAAATAAAAAATTTTATTTAATTTCTTTTTAAAAAAAACAAAAAAAACCCCCCCCCCCCCCCCCCCCCCCCAAATAAAAAACAAAAAAAAAAAACAAAAAAAAAAAAAAAAAAAAAAAAAAAAAAAAAAAAAAAAAAAAAAAAAAAAACAAAAAAAAAAAAAAAAAAAAAAAAAAAAAAAAAAAAAAAAAAAAAAAAAAAAAAAAAAAAAAAAAAAAAAAAAAAAAAAAAAAAAAAAAAAAAAAAAAAAAAAGTATTACAAATAAGAGGACAAATCGATACCTTCTTCAATCATTTTATGTTAATAGTATATTATTTTAAAAGATATCAGGCTTTACTATTTCAAAGCTGTTCCGGGATGTTCATATCCTCTTTTCTACAATCTGTCATGGGTCAATGAATCAACGTGAGCTTTGCGAGACAATCGCAGCTTAAGCCGGACCCTTCGATCCTTTGCGATGAAGAGCAGCTGACTGGGATCAGACTCCGGGTGGGTGGGAGTGCTCCTGGGTGGGTTCGCTTTTCCGGGCAGCAGTTGCGCGACTTCCCAGCGAGATGCGAGATGCGAAAGGCGAGAGGCCGGAAACGATGACAATGTGTGAAGGGATCGACGGGCTGCTTGGCAACACATTCAAATGCATTCGAGTCGACGTAACGCGGCTCAATTAGTGCGGTTCAGCGGCTGCCAATGCAGCTTCGTCCTGCCGTCCTGCCGCCGAGTCCTTGCGATTCCATTGCTCCTGCCATTGTCCGCCCGTTTTTGCTGGCTTTATGTCAACTTCTTGCACGCTTATTCACACCTGAGCACAAAACCGCCCCGCAGTTTCTGCTGCCTGAGGAGTCACGAATGCGCCGCAGCTTCCGCAGCTACATTTTCCACGCCGCATTTCCACTTCCCGCATTGGCGGGCAGCGAGGCGTCGCTCATTACGTGGAAAACCGCTGGCCCGGCACTCCATTAATTAGTCCCTATTAGTTTGGCCTGGTTCGGCGCCTTTTGGCTAAAAACAAGTTGTGGCAAATCTGGGGATTTTATGGCAATACAGGGAAAGCTTCAGCTATTGGTTTCAATAACTGAAAAAGGATATTACCACTTAAATATTCTTAAATGTGATATTGTTTTTATTGCTAAAAAGTCATACAGGTTTTTTTAAATAAACACATAAATATATCTGTCCAACTTATTTCGTTTTGATAATTGTGTAAAAGTGTGAGCTTACATTAATTTGTGAATTAAAATTTCCTTCTTAACGCATTTGTTGTCAATGAAAAAGCTAAACACAAAAATACTTCCACGATCTATCAATAAATCTATCACGATCTATCAATAAATAGGAAATAATGCCTTGTTTTCCGGGAAACAGGAGGAGGAGGAGGAGTGAAGAGGTCATGATGTTTGAGGATTCCTTCACCCGGCGGATATTTATCAGCAAGGTTCTGATGATAGTGGCGGTTAGTAGAGATAGATGCGAATATAATTAATTGAATAACCTATTGGGAACCTGTGACAGATCAACCTGCTGATTACCGTGGCGTTAATGACGTTCTGTATTTTTCACCTGGGTACAAGGCGATTCTTACTTAAACACTGGTATCTACCGCTCATCGCCGCGGGAGTCCTAATGATCTTCTCCTTTATGATATGTTGCTGCGCTAACTGCTTCCGAAGATCCCCTCAAAAGTGGATACTGTTGGTAATATACGTGTTATGCCATGCTCTACTGGTGTCCTGTCTTGCGGTTCGATTTCATCCGAAGTTGGCAAGTGACATGATGTTTTGTAGCTGCTATAGAAGGTTTATATTTTCCCCATCAGGTTTTTATAGCCGCGTCTGCTTGTGCTCTCATCGTGGTTCTGCTGGGACTTTTTGCCAGGTTTGCTCCCTGCGATTTCACAGGATGCTGGATCCTTGCTCTTGTCTTCGGCCTGGTAGTGATGGTAATGGGCATAGTGGCCATCTTCATTCCCAGCTTTAAGATAGTGTATGTCTCCTTTGGCGTGCTACTCTTCTGCTTTTACATCGTGATCGACCTGCAAATGTTGATTGGCGGCAAAACACACAGAAATCAGTTCGACGAAAGCGATTACATATTGGCTGCCATGTTTATTTACAGCGACATAATATTCCTCTTTATATATCTACTGGAGCTTATTGGCTTAATCGATTCATAAAAGTAAATAAAAGGTGATGAAATTAGAAAAAGTGGAAAAAGGGAAATCAGACTAAGGATTGAAGCTGTGAAGAAAAAAAGAATTGCGTTTGTAAATTTTTACATTTTCTTTACATTTTCCAGCAATAAGGTGTTGACTGTCATTGAGATCATTTGAATTTTTCAAAAATTAAAATCTGTTTTTCTTCTCTTAAACTAAAAATAATTCCCTGGAATATCAGCAACATGTGCGAAGTGCAGAAACTACTCGATGGCCTCTGCCAGACTTTTGACAATCACAAGAAGTTGCGCAGCGTGGAAATGGTCAAGATCCTGAATCGCGTTCGCTGCTGTGAGTGTGGACACCAAATGAGGCTTGCTAAGGCCCAGCAGATTAAGTCTGAATACCAGAAATCAAAATCTCAGGGCCAAACCCGAAAACTTCTGGTCGCCTGTTTCGGATTGCTGTTCCTCATCTACATTTACGCAATCTACGAGGCTCGAAGGTATAATCATAAAAGGGCTTATGGAAGTAGTGCCTGCGGATCAACCTTTTTCTACAGCAACAACAACTGTGATGTGTTCTACTAGGAAAATAGTTCTCACACTTACTTACCAAGGCGTATATTTTATGCACATATTTTTTAATATTACTATTCCTTTGCCATTGATTTATAATGAACTTCAAAATGTAAATTTGTTTTTTCAGTATATATATTTTTTTAAGGTAATTTTGCCTTGAAGTTTAAAGAAAGGCCAATGTGCAAATAAAACATGTTTTACTTATTTCAAACTTTTATTTTTCCCACATATAAAAATCCTTTTAGTTTTTGGCCAACTAAAGCCACAAGTGTTTGTGGACCAGTTAGTGAATTTAAATCAGTTCAAAAGCGCAAGATGACTTCTAAGCATGAATGAATACCGATTTTTTATTGACCTAACATATGTATGTATTTTAATTTGTACGACTTGAGATACACATCCAGGTGAAGATGGGACCCCGGAAGGTTGGGTGGCACACGGCAAGGGCGTGTCTGGCACTTATTGGGAACATTTCGTGCTCGACTTTTTCACCCGCTTTATGATTGGACGCTGCCGTAAATTATGCATAAAGCATAAATGCCAGAAAGAGATCGAACGACGGGATTGAGCAGAAGGGAGACTGTTGGCTTTCGGGGTGAGTCCATCATCGAACACGGCCATTCAGTTTTATTGGGTTATCGAGTGGGACAGGACCTCTCTTCCCCACCACCACCCCCAGTCGAACTCCTCAAAAACGGGCGGTTGTTGGGCTAGCTCAATATTGACACACGTTAATTGAAGCCCGACGGCTGCCAAAAGTATCGTTTCAATGGCCACATCCCTTAGCCGTGGGTCAGCGCCGAACTGAACAACCATTGCCTGCTCACATTGTGGCAGCGGAAAAGAGAGGAAGAGTGGGTGGTTGGGTGTCTGGTGCTCTAGGGTGGACCTTATGCTAAATTATTATCTTATAATATAATGAAAGATTAAAATGCAGTTGTTTTGAGGAATACGAACTCAAACGATTTAAGGTATTCAACATTGGTAACGGAAGATATTGGGTCCAGTAGTCCCCATTTGGATCGCTTTACTGCAATCTATCGAAGCTTGAAAAATCTGACATAAACAGGGGTCAAAATATCGACCACCGGGAAATGGAAAATTTTGAATGCAGTTTCTTCAAGGATGTGATTACAAATATTTAGAGGTATGCCACTTTGGAATCAGACTAAAATTGGCAAAACTATGGTCTGTGGACCTCTGGAAGTAGGTTTTGGAAAAAAGAAAAAGGGTTTGTTTGGAATCCTATAAATTGGAAAAGTTCTGGGCTGTGGACCTCTAGAAAAATTTAAAAAAAAAAGGGGTAAAAAAATAACCCATTTAAAAAAAAAAAATTTAAAAAAAATTTTTTTTTAGGGGAAAAAAAAAAAAAATTAAGGGGAAGCCACTTTAAAAAAAAAAAAAAAAAAAAAAAAAAAAAAAAAAAAAAAAAAAAAAAAAAAAAAAAAAAAAAAAAAAAAAAAAAAAAAAAAAAAAAAAAAAAAAAAAAAAAAAAAAAAAAAAAAAAAAATAAATTTAAAATAAAAAAAAAAAAAAAAAAGGAAAAGAAATTGATAAGGTCTCCTCATTGGAAAAATCGACCATCAGTAAGTGAAAAACATAAAATGCAGTCTATTTCAAACTTGGTCCACCCTAAGCGGCGTAGTTCCAGGATTATTGGGGTGGTGGTTGACCACCTGGCTGGGTCTCACATGTTGGGCGATTACATCACCTGCTGGGCGGTCATCGCTTTGAAGGCTTTAATAAACCCTGATTACCAAGGCAATTTTAAACGACCTGTAATTGACTCCTCCACCGGGTTGTCCAAACTTCTCTTTTGTCCGGTAAACGTTGAATTATGTTTTATTATACGGCTTTCAATTTTTCTTAAATTTTACACAATACACAATTCCTGCCAGTTAGTTTTATTAGTCGAGTGTATATGAAGATATTACTTGTGGTTTCGGATGCTGCCCATCCTATGTACATGGTGTATGAGTTGGGTTTAGGAAATCCTGGAACTATATGTCTATTGCATATGGCCAGATCTCTTGCAAATTAAAATTCTGAGGCCCCAAGATCTTCGCTGCCAAATCAAAGGAAAATTCAAGCAAGAAGTCCAAGGGTCCTTCGGTTTTAGTTAACAAAATGGGCGACTTTGTTGGTTTTGATATGTTGTTAAAAGCAGACAAGAGTGAAAAGAAAGAAACAGTTTAGTGTTTTCAAAAATTATGCATTATGTATTATTTTTGCTTTGAATTAGTTGTTGTCTTTTAGTTTAGTTCTGAGTTTAGATAGCATAATTAATCGTAAGTGTTGGTTTTTTCCTATTTGAAGTTAATTTTAATACATTTTGTTTAGTTGTAAATTATTGTAATGTAAATTTTAGGACTAATTCAAGTTCATATCTAGGTATATATGTATATTTATAGGTAGTGTTATAATTGTTGTAAATACAATCGAATAATTAACTAATACAGAATAATTACAGAACAAAGTGTTTGGAAATAGATTTTTCGCTCTGATCAAAAGTCTGAAATATCTTAGAGTTGTTCGCTTCTTCACATAAGCATTTCTCAGATAATCATTTGTGGCATGTCTAGATGCATATAAGTATAACGTGAGTAGGCATACATAGTATATGGGTATAATTGAAATTTTGGAATATTCAAATTTGACACACAATTCTCATAGTTTTGTCTTTCACATTTCGACTGATATACAAACGAAATACAATCAAAACATAGAATATATAAACGATACAGAAGGAAGGCAAAGACTAAGCGCACTTTGTAACAATTCGCTCGACACTTCAAGTCTGGACATTCCGTTTCATCGTCGCCTTAAACTCAAATAACACTTAACACGTACAAAACTGCTTATTAAACTTAACAAATACAGAATTTAATTCAAGCTAAACGCATTTTGTTGCCATATAAATTATTGTTAAAAGAAATGCACACGTGCACGAAAACGAAACAGAAAACTTAGCGGCTACGCAACTTGAGCTAATAACTAAAAAAGAAATTTACATCAAATGTGAATAGTTATTAATTACAAATTAGTGGTTGGTTGCTTGATTTGTTTGCCATTCGCCTGTGTGTGTGTTTTTGTTTTTGTTGTTGTTTCAGTTAAATAAATAGGTGTTGGTTGGTTAGTCCTTCCTCGCAGATCAGCTGCCTTCTTTTAGTCATTTAGTCTAGCCTAAGCTCTACACACTAGGAGTTATTCTCACAGTCATCGGGTTTGTGCTTCGTGCGTAAATTGCTCAAAAGATCGGCACAGTTGTTCACCATCATCAGATAGTCTCCGTTGTCGGCGCTCAGCTGGTCGTGGTTCAATCCTCCACTTCCGCCCACGCTCACTCCCATTCCTCCTCCTCCGCCCACTCCGCCTCCATTGTTCGTCTTCTCCGCTTGTCTAAAAATAATGGGATGTTATTATATAATCATATACATTAAATCGATCTATCTACTCTACCTATTGGTGATGCTGCTCAGCATGTTTCTGGACATGATCAGGGCGTTCTCCAGTTCCTTCAGCAGCAGCGAGTTCTTCAGATTCGCATGCAGCTGCATAGCTGCCTGAGTTGTGGTATAAAGTTTGTTGATCACATTGTGTACTTGGGCCTCAGCTGAAGGAAAAAATATGTCATTAAAGACCAGTTTAGTTATAGGAATTTCTAATTCTTACGATCTGAGCCCTCGTAATCCTCGGTGGAGTTCACTCCACTCCTCTGCTTAGCATTTCCGCCGGGGCTGCCAGTATTGTTGATCATCATTTTGCTCTTGTGATCGAAGCCCAAATTCCTTGGCCTTGGTGGCACAATGGGCTTGTTGTTAACAGTGCTGTTTGGCGTCTCCTCGGAGCTGGAGTCGTCCTGCATGGGTGTGGCTAAAAGGATATAAGATGTTATTAGTTGGAGCTCTCAAAATAAAACTAAGAGTCAACTCACCACTGCTGAAGTTTGGCGTCTTGCGTCGATTGTTGTTGACATTGTTTATTTTGTTGCTGTATTGGCGATTGGCAGCTGCAAATTACGTATTAAATTTATATTAATGATTTGTTTATATACTTTTAACATTATATATATTCACCTATGGGGCCATTACTGCGTCCCTGTCCATTGCTGGCACTACGCAATCTATTGCTATCCTCTGGTTCGGAATCGCTCTGAAAGGTAAATCATTTTCATTACAGCAGCTCATTAATTATCCTAATATTAACTTACCCCCTGATTAAGAACATTCATTGAGTTGCTGGAGGCACCCAGTCCAGTTTTTCCCTGCAAACTGTTCCTCTTGCTGGCCGATCGCGAAACGTTTCCATTTCTGTGCTGAGCCTGCGGCTTCTGCGGCGTCCCATTCGATTTTCCAGCTGTAAAAGTTATCAAAATTACACAGTTAAATATTTTTAAATAAATTTAAGAATGAATTTTAGAGCGAGGGTGCTTACGCTTGCCAAAGTTGCCCATGTGCAGGTCGCTCAGCGAGCAGGCGCGGCGTATGGAGGACTCCTCGATGGGCATGGGATTGAGCGTTTTGGGATTGCCTGAAAAGGTGGCACTAGATTAGTGTCGGTTCGGGTCATGCGGTTATATATAATAATATATATCTTGTGCTGGGATATCGAGAAATGGAGGGGTTGGTGGTGGTCGAAGGGGGAAACGAAAAACTAGTAATATAACTGTGTGTGCGCAAATGAAGGTGGGCGGAAAACTCAAGAGGCACAACAACCAAGGTGGAAACGGGGCTCAAACCTGGCTCCATCCTCAAAACAACAGTCCCAGGTCCCAGGTCATCGAGATCTGGGTTATCAGCGGGGATCTCAGTGCTCGCCTGCTTGCCAACCTCATCGTCGGCAATCACTTCCTTGGCCAGCTCCACGTCCTGGTTGCTGCTGTAGATGCCAGTGAAGTCGGTGCTCTCCAGGACATCCGGCAGACTGCAGTTCCTCCGAATGTTCCTGGCATAGGCGCACAGATCGGAGGCGTCCTTGGAGGTCAGCTCGTCGTCCTCGGCGGGCTCCTCCCCCCTGGCCAGCATGTCAAAGTTCATGGTCAGGCTCTTCACGTAGCCCTTCTCCTTGGCATTGCAGTTGAAGGGCCTCAAACGGGATTCGGTGGCCAGGCGTATCTGCTCCATTTTGTTCTCCTCCATGGCGATCAGCTTCTCGATAATGTCTATCTTCTTGGCAATGTTCTGGCACTGATGGCTGGTGGAGCTACCCGCTCCCTTTCCCTTTCCACTTCCTCCCTTTCCGCTGATCTTCCCAGCGTTGTCTAGGTTCTTCCTGTACTTTTCCCGCTCCTGCTGGATCTCATCTACCACCGCTTGCAGTTGGGGTTTGGTGTACAGTTTGAGGGTTTGCATATTCTCCAGGTTCTCGGGGGCATTTCCGTTCTCGGCGAAATACATCTCGAAGCTGCGCTCTCCGTAATCGCTCGGCAGGCTTCCCACCTCCATTTCCAGCTGCTCCTCCTCCCGTTCCTGCCTCTCCCTCTTGGCACTGGGCGTATACTTAATCTGCGACACTGTATTAAAACGCACCGAGATCTTTGGCCTGCTCTTCTGCCTCACACTGGTGGCCCGTCGACTGCTCTCGCTGGTATCGAATCGGGAAACCTTCTTCAGACAACTCTGGGTGGCGGATCCCCCGGCCAGGGCTCCAGAGCTCACCGAGCTCCTCATCGCCGGCCTCCTGTGCTGATCCCGCTCCCGCTGCTTCTCCTTCTCGAACTTCTGCAGATTGTGCTCGAACTGCTGCACCACGCTCGCGGTTCTCGACTGCGATTTCTGCTGCTTCTGCTGCTTTTCCGCGTGGCTCAGGGTGCTGACCAGGTTCTGTGGCTTCACCGGCACCGGTGGCTTGGGCTTCAGTGGCTTCCGCACGAAGAGATTGTCTCCCGACTGCATGGGATTCGAGTTCCGCTGCAATCGCTGCTGGGCGAAGTCCGTGCTCAGGGACTTGTTCACTCCCGAGTTGTACTGCTTGTTCTTGGAGCGCAGGGTGGGTATGTTTTCCGAGGCCTTCACCTGGGCGATTCGGGGATATGTCTTTGAACTCGGCAGTGGCTTCAGTGGCTCCAAATTGTAACCGGTGACATCGAAGCTGTCCGTCGCAGTGGCATGCTGCTGCCGCATGTAGTAATCGAAGCTGCCGTAGGCATTCGGGCTGTTCCCGTACGACTTGGACACCGGTCCGTGGATGATGAAGTTCCGGATGCCGGCGTGCCGCTGCTGGAGCACGGCCACCTGGGCCTGCGGGTACTCCAGCGGAGCACTCTGGCAGTCGCTCTCGTCCGAGAGCACGCTCTCCAGGCTGTTGCAGTAGCTCCCCGGTCCATCGCCATCGGAGAGCAGCGATAGCGACTCCTGACTCTGCTGTCCGGTGAGGAAGAAGCTGGCACTCGAGTGGCGCTGCGTCTCCAGGAACCGCGCCTCCTCCAGCCTCCGCTGACTGGCCGCGAACTGCTCCGGCTGCAGGATGTCCGAGAGGGACACCTTCCGCTCGCACTGGTAGAACTCCCGGTAAACGTAGTACTGGGTGGTCCTGCCCGTGGGCGTGGAGTCCCCGGTGGAGCCCAGTCCGCCCAGGCCCTTCAGATTCGCTGGCATCGAATACGAGGCTGGTATGCTGGGCTCGTCCAGATCCCCGTACTTCCGGGTGATCTCATCGATCATTTTCTCCGTATCCGCGTGGATCATGTCCAGAATGGTTCGTGCATCGTCAGCATAAACCGAGTGCCTCTTGGGTTCTCCCAGCAGCGCTCCTCTCTCGTTGCCCTCCGCTGACCACTCCACCTCCTCGTGGACCGGAGACACTGGACAGGATTTGTAGTGCTTCAAGATACTGGGCGTTCGCCTGTTGTTCCCAGCTGGGTTCCTCTTGACCCTCTGTTGCTGCTGCTGCTGCTGCTGTTGATTGTGTTGCTGCTGGGAATGCGAACGCATTGCGGATGAGGATCCTCCGAAGGGAACCCCAGGCGGTGGATGGATCTGGTGGACACCCACGTGGTGCGGATAGGGAGGATAGTGCTGCTGCACCTGTCGCATCGTGTGGAAGTTCTGCTGCAACTTGGACTTCGGGGCAGCACAGTTGAAAAACTGCTGCTGGGAAGCACTGGGAACATATTGCTGATGTTGCTGGTGGCTTTGATGATATTGCTCCTTGGGAATTTGATATTGCTGCTGCACTGGCTGCTGATATTGCTGCTGGATATTCGCGGTGGCAGCAGTTGCTGTTGGGTTTGGGGAGCTAATACACTGCGGAGTTTCGTGGGAAGCAACTAATGGGGTTAGTTCATATATCGTTACGGGGAATGTTTGTTATACATTAGATAATACATTGGTTTTACCGCAGAGATCGCAAAGAGGTAAGCAATATTCAGAGAGAGATAGTCAACAGAGAGAGCAAACAACGGGAGAGAGTTTTCGGTTACATTAGCCTACTGTCCAACTTGGAGGGGATTTCAATTTGGTTCAGAGCAGGGTCTCCTTTTTCCCATTAAGGCTTACCTGGCTTTGTGTATCGTCCTGGACCGCCGCCCACGTTCCTCGATCCATCCAAATTGGCAGCCAGACTCAGATCCGATATGCTATGGCTTCCCCGAAGGGGTCTATGGCCTACCTGTGGGTTCAAATAAATAGTATTAAATATTTGTTACAAACTATGTATATTAAATATTTGTTGTAAACTATATACTGTACTATTGAGTTAGTAAAAAACCACCTAGGGGTGTGTTTAAATTATTTAACCACATAACACATAGGCACCTTTAAAGCAATGTAAGATTTTAAAATGATTTACTTAAAGATTCACATTTTAAATTGAAGTAATTTTTGTAGATATTAAAATGTGAAAGTGATCGTCTGTTTTTTTATGAGTGAGTTATTCGATTTGAGTTACTGGTGTGAGTGGTTTTCGGGTTCCTCAAATTGCTTGAGTGGTGCAAAGTGGTGCGATTAGGAGTGAAAGGGTGAGGGGCACCACGCATCTTCAGCCGACTTGACTTATCTGGCTAAGCGAGTTTCTTTAGTAGCCGCTAGTAGCTTGGGCTATTTTTAGAAACAGCTGAATGCGATGGGGAGTTGGTTTGGGTACAAACATGGAGCATCGGTGGTTCAGTGGTAGAATGCTCGCCTGCCACGCGGGCGGCCCGGGTTCGATTCCCGGCCGATGCATAAATAACTTTTTTTGTTTTTTTTATTATAATTTATAAAAGCGTTAAAAAGTATTAGGCAAAACAACAACTTGTCTTTTAAATAATATTAATTATTTTTTGGTAATTATAAATGGACTGCAAATTAAATTTTAATTTAATACCAAGGCATTGAGCTTAGTTTTTTTTATCTGTTAGTTTATAAGCATTGCAAAAATGTACAAATCTGAAGCATCGTTAGAATAAGTAAAGCTGTCTTTATAGTCCAACTTAAATCGGCTCACCTCGGCTATAGCATTCAACCTTGTGTTGCCATTTTTGCGCGTACCCTAAACACACAAATTCGGGCAGGGGTTTTATTATATATTTTTTGTTTTTTTTTTTTTTTGGGTGCATGTGTTTTGGGGTGGGAGATTGGAGATTGGAGGACAGACCAGACACCGAAAAACAAATAATGGGACACACATAAAAATACAGAAGAACAACAAAAGAAAACACAAATTAAATGGGCAAATAAAAGTGGGAGGAAAACGGAAAACCCGCGAAGCAGTAAAGTCTGCCCTTTCAAAAGGAAATACTCTGATAGAAGGATCCCTTGGCAGAGCCCACACTTACATTCTCCAGCTGCTGCTTGACCTTGTTGATGACCTGCAGCAGCTCCTCCTTTTTGGTGCTCGTATACGACTTGGTGATGGTGGGCGGTGCGGCCACGCTTTTCCCATTTTCCGTGTTGTGCTTGGCGCTGATGCTGCGGCGACCTGGCAAAGGAAAGTATTCATTTAGAATCCATAAAGGAAATGCCTTCGAGGGGCGAAATAGTATCTCACTGCTGCCACCCCTTTCCATGGGCGTAGTGGTGCCGGGACCCTCGGGCAGAGCGGCGTGCAGGAAGCTGTTGCTGCTCTGGGGAAGGTTCTCCGAGCTGCCGCCCAAAGTGGAGGCCAGCGAGCGCTCCGCGTTCTCGGCACTGGGCGTGGAGCCCTCGTCCTCGGTGTCCGAGGTCCCGGTTCCGGTTCCAGTGCTCGCCGTATGCGAACTGCCGTTTCCGCTGAGAGCCGAAGGGGTCAGCTGGAGGCCGGACTTCTCAAACTTCTGGCGACGCACCGACTTGCGCAGCTCATCCTCGTTCATGGCGGTCACCTTGAAATCTCTGCAGGAAAGAAGCACTCTTATAGTTTGCTAGTCCAACTAAATTAAAGTAAGTAAACTCACGTTGGTGTGCTGGGAGCCAGATTGTTGTAGAACATTCCGTGATCGGAGCTGGTTCGCTCGCCATCGGAGATGTCCTCCACGTCGCCGTCGTGATCGTGGGTGTGGGTATCGAACCGCAGACCCGGCTTCAGCCGCTTGTCCGGCAGCTGGAGGCGCTGCTGGGCAGCTCCAGCACCCGTTGAGATGGCACCATTGGAGGCAGCGACAGCCAGCGAGGAGACGGAGGAGACCGTGACCACCGTTCCGTTGTTGCTGCTGCCGATGAACTTGAGCTCGCCCCTGCGCGTCTCCATGCCCGAGTCGATGGAGGAGTCCTCGCTCAAGTAGGTCTGATTGTACGTGATGTCCTTGGAAGAGGCACTATTGTAATCAGAGGTCTGCACATTAACACCACTGTGACCACCTACAGACGAAACGGTGCCCAGCGGACTCTCCGAGTTGGAGCGCAGGTCGTCCGCCGTCTCCAGCTGGGTGCTCCTCTGCGCCCACCTTCCCCTGGCTCGCGGTGCCAATCCGGGCACCTGTTGGCTCGGCGACGAGCTCAGGTTGCCCATCGAGGAGGCGGCGTGCATGGCAGGTACATTGGCGGATGATCCACCGCTGGGCGTGGGAATGGACAGAGCCCCACTGTCCGAATCCGCTGCTGCCTTCCGCATCGCCCACTGCGGCAGTTGGCCCACATCCGAGAACCTCTCCGCCACTCCGAACTTGGGCTGCAGCTGCGGCTGCTCCATTTCACTGGTGGGCGACTCCAGCACAATGCCATCCGGTGGCGAAATGGGTGCCAAGGGTCGCGGCAAGGGGGCGTGTCCCGAGCGGAGACGCTGCTGCGACATCCTCGCCTGCATGGTCACGATCATGTCGTGCGGCACTTGCCAGATGAAAATGCATCCGTCTCCGCTCGCCGAGATCAGGTGCCGGCAATCGTTGGTGAACTTCAGACCCGTGACCAGTTCACTGTGCCCGTACATCCGCGCCATGCACTCGCTGGAGTAGTAATCGTACACCGCCAGGGTTTTGTCCGTGCACGAGGTGGCCACGTAGATGCCACTCGGATCGAGGCTCAGCTTGATCAGGCTTCCCTCGTCCGAGTGGGAGCCCTTGAAGGTTTTCGTCTGCTTGGCATTCTGGGTGCCGTAGACGCGCACATTGCGATCCTGGCAGGCGGTCAGGATGTGCTTGGAGTTCGAGTCCACCTCCATGTCGTAGAGCGTGGTCTTCCCGGAGGTGTTGGTGCCCCGCATGAAGATGTTGCCCTGTTGAAGGAGGAGGAAGCTTTAAAAATGTTTCTCTATATAAGTGAGAAGCAAACACTCACCTGAAAACTCCTGAACATAATGGACTTGTCCGCTCCGCAGCTGATCATCTGGAAATTGAGTCCGGCGCCCACAAACTTGATGGAGGTGATCGAAGAGCTGTGGTCGTCCAGCGTCTGTAGCAACAAGTAGTTCTGGGCCACATCGAAGACGTGGATCAGGCGATCCCTGCTCGCACTGGCCAGCAGCTTTCGCTCGATCCGCTCGTTGGAGTACTCCAAGCACAGCACCTCCGACTCGTGGGCTTCGATGGTGGTGAGGAGTCGCAGATTGACCAGGCTGTACACGCGGATATTGCCGCAGCGATCACCACTGGCCAGGTGCTGCAGCTCCGGACTGATCTTGATGCAGCGCACTCCGTTCCGGCCGTCGTAGGAGGAGTTGCCCGCCTTGTCGAACAGCGAGGAGCCCTGGTCCTTGATGAACTGCAGCTCCTCGTCGCTGTACACGATCTTCAGCAGCTCCTTGGAGTAGATGTTGCGTCGGTAGATGTCGTTGTTCGTACAGCCGTCCAATCCCCAGACGCGAATCGTGTCGTCCGAGGAGCAGGTGACGAAGCACTCCTCGGGCAGCGTTTGCGAGGGCTCCCGCTCCACGTTATATGGCACTGTCTCCACGCCCCAGATGCAGGTGGAGTGGTAAAGGAACGAGTGCGACTTGCCCACGCGGGAGATGTCGCGCAGATCCCAGATGTACAGCGAGTGATCGTTGTAGACGCAGCTTACCTAGATAAAAATAAGTTACTAGATAGATATATCATTCAGTTTTTAAAGAATGTAGTTTACCTTGCATCGCTGCTCATCGAAAACCATGGCGATGCAGTCGGGGAACTTGGCCTGCTGCGGCACGGACATGATGTGGTTGATCTGGATGCCCTGGGCCACATCGACGCCCAAGTAGTGGGTCCTGGGCAGCGTGGTCACGTACTCCAGCGTGGCCGCATTGAAGATGCGGATGATGGACTCCGCACAGCCCACCAGGATGAAGCGCTCGTTCACGCAGATACAGTTGGCGTTGCTGGTGCGGCACTGCACCCACTTGTCCAGGAGGCGGCGCGAGCTGAACTCCACCAAGTGTCCTTGCCGCGTGATGGCGTACGTGCTCTCCGCACAGATCCCCTTGCCGCAGGCCACCGCACAGAAGTCGTTGTCCCGCAGGTCGCCCAGAATGGCGCTCCGTCCCATCAGGGGAATGGGATCCTTGTACTGCAAAAGGACATGCATGATTAACTCCTGGCCTTTAACTCAATGTGGCTTATAAAATATTCAGAGCAGTTGAACGTGGCATAACATATTCAGAACTTTTAATATTAATAAATTTACTAGGAGATACCACAAAAATCCCTGGTGGTTTAAAAACAGTTTAAAGTTATCTGCACTTCGCTCTGAATATTTTTAATGCCATTTTTGGTGATTTAGGGATTGAACTCACCTTTCTTCCTCCCTCCAGATACCAGTACTTGACATGGCGATTGCCCACGGTGACGAAGTAGCTGCCATCCTCGGCAAAGCACACGGCAGCCACCTTGGAGCTGATTTTATTCGAGGCCATCTTGAGGTTGGCCCGCCAGTCGAACACGTTGACAATCATGTCGTGCTGGGAGCCCACCGAAACCAGGTACTTGCCAGTGGGCGAAAAGGCCTGAATACAAACAATGAATTAATTATTCAAGAAAGCTTTTCAGGATAAATAAAAACAGGACTCACCACACAGGTGACGGCGTATTTGTGGTCCACAAACTCCGCCACAACAGTGCCGCCGCTGCAGTGCTCCAGACTCCCGTTGGGCGTCTCCAGCTCCCACACTTTGATCGCCGGATTGATGCCACACTCGCCGGTGGCCACGTAGCGACCACATCGCGAAAATGCCACGGAGGTGAATGCTTTGCGGGAGGTGTTGACCAGGTAGGCCTGTGTCTGGCGCTTCGCGTTGAACAGCACCACGGTGCAGCTGCAAGATTAAGATAAATAAATTAATTAAAAATTGTACCTATTTATATATACATTGTATATGCTACACTATTTTTATCTGTTTGATTTTACCTACTTAAAGATTTAAACAACTCAATTAAATCCCCAAGTATGATTAATAGATTTATTTCCAATGGCAGGTGCTAAAAGTAAGTTCGTTTTTCCCCTGATTAAATGCCAAACGAATTACAATAGACATTAATCACCAAGCTTGAAAAACTATCTAATTTTCTGCTAGTAATTGTATTACCACGTGGGTTTAGGCTATCTCGTGTTAACAGTTTCACATCCTTCCACTCAATGCCATTTATCTGCTGGCCCCGACCACTTAAAGGCGTCCTTGACCACGGCAGACGACGGCCCAAGTTGGTAACACATTTAAAATGCCCAAGGATGTAGGTTCCGCTCTGCCGGGTCCTTTTTCCTCTTTATTCTTTATTTTTTTCCACCCCGCCACCTTCAGCCAACCTTTTCCTGCCTCCGTTTAACCCTCTTGTGCCGGAATGCCAGCTAACTGTCTGCCCGGCTGGCTCATTATTAAGCTGCTCTTTGGCCTCCTCGGATTTATTTCTGTTGTAGGTACTGTTGCTCGTTGCTGGTTGCTCGTAATGAGCGCATCACGCCCACATCTTTCACTTAAAGTTATACCCTTGCTACTATGTATATTCCACTTCGACATCAGGTTTGTTGAGTTTAGTTATTTCAAGGAGGTATCCTCTTCTTCAAAATTACTGAATCCCACTCGTTCTCTTATGTCATTCAGTAAATATATAGTATAAGCAAAGTTATTTTGCAAACTTTTGCTAACCTTGTGAAGTGCATTTAGTTTGCGACGTTGGCCTGCGTGAATTTCCCTCGGCATTTTCTATTTATTCATGCTTGCAAATGGTACTATGCATACATGTGTGAGCCAAGAAAAAAACTTTTTCAGCGCAACGGAAGCGTAAATATGCCCTTTTTGTTAATGCACATAATTAGTAGAGTTCCTCGGCTTAACTCGCATTAATTGAAATGTTTGCGGGATAAAGAAGCGCAATTTAAACGACCAATCAAAATCCGATTGAAGAGGATAAAGCAAACAGAATGAATTGACTTTGTGATCCAAATTAATTGCCATGGATTTTCTTTAATCTAAATCAAAACCAACAGATGTCACGGCAGTTAATTTGCCTCCGCATTCCATTAGCTCTAAGCTTTAACGTTTAACCAATCTGTCATTGAAAATTGCAATTATTGCGTACATTACGTATACGCCGCGTAAAACCTATTGTGAGCTAAGCAAACATTCAGTGGCATATGCAAATCCTCTGGTGGGAAAACGGCAATCGCGTTGACATTATTTCACTCCCGCCCCTCCGATTTCCCTCTGAGGCTGTCACAGATTTTCCTCGTTGAAATGGAAAAATGCAGCCATGTGCGACAGTTGAGGAGAGATTAAATCAGGCGTTTTCATTGCACTCTTTTCCCGAAGCAAATTTAAAGCTTGAATTAAACGGAATTGAATTTTTTCGGAGCAAAGAAGGAAATGAGATACAGGTTCTGACGGTTTCCTTTTCGGCGCTGCTGGATATGTAATATTCTTGAGATTCATGATACTTACCCAGCTGGATAGGCCAGCAGGCCGCTGACTGGGGACACATCCAAAGCCGCATTGCTGCACACAGTCAGGCCCAAGACCTTTTTGAGTTTTATCTGCAAGAAGAGGGGAGAACATCGTAACATTAGATATCGCATTACATCACTCGAGTACCAGCTTGTTTGCAAAGTTTTTGTATATCTTTTTTCGCTTTCGGCAAGGTCACTTTGTGGAATATTTGCTCAAAAATAAAACCAAACGAAGATAACTTGCTGTGAGAATTGTTAACGCACACAATTCGCACATTTATCATGTCGGAGCTGTGTGTTTACATACGAACCCAGCCTTATACGATTTACATAAACATAAACAACAGGAATTGCCTCAGCATGTAAACATGATTTTCCAATGGTTTTTGCTATATTTTTCATCAATAGTTTATTAACAAGCTTTTTCAACTTGTATATTTCTCCACAAGGGGAGAAAGCCGAATTGAATTCCATAAATACGAAATCCAAAATTGAATAACAAACGAAATTGAATTTATGCGGCAATATGAATTCGATTTTATCGCATTTAAAAAAGGTTTAAAATAACTGACAATATTTGTTTTATTTTTGTAGAGATACCTAATTATTTCATTCACTAGAAACCGAGTAAATATGGCTCTTTGTGTGTCGGTTGCCTTTTTGTGTTCAAAAGCCGCCTTGTTACGCCTCACCAGAGCTTCACCTTGATCTTGCCCAAGCCACCAGCTTATTAGTTATTAAAAAAGCCATAAAAACAAAACTAAAACAATTAAGGGGCGTATAGCTCAGAGAACACAACAGGTTGAACAATAACTGGCAAATATCTGAGTGAAAAGGAAGTGCAAGTCAACAAAGTGTTCGAACACACTGCCGCATTGGAATCGAAATGGAATACTTTATGGTTGTCAGACGTAAATCAGAACTCAACAGTGGGCGATCCATAAGACGACTCTGTCAACTTTGGCACGCAAAGAGCATCCAAAAGATGCTTGATTATTGTGTTTCTGCGTCGCAAATGCGATTCGCAATTCCGAGATTCCGATTCCGATACAAAATACATTCCGACTGAGATCATCTCGGAATGACAGAGACACAAAACAAAATAGCTCCAGTGTTTGTTTACTACGAGAATTACTTTATTGGCTTGTTTCACTTAAGCGAGAATCGAGCCACACCAACGCAGCCTTTAAAATCTATATTTTAATGTATAAGGTCGATCTATGAACCGGTTTTAAGTCTCTCCGTTGTTCCTCTCCCGCGTATTTGCATTTTTAATGACAATGATACGCCGTGAAATTGTAAACAAATTTTCTGGGCATGACTAAAATAAAGCAACAATGAAAATATGCTAACCATGACTGAAAAATGATAATCAAAGCTTCCCCCGAAATCATGACCAACTGGCATCGATTTCGTTTAAGTGAAAAAGGGGGAGAGAGCAAGGCAATTACGGGGCGTATGCGCAACCGAATCCGAATCCGAATCCGTGAGCTGCTGCTTTTTAATTCGTTTTCAAATGGTAATTAGGCAGAGCAGGAGAAAAAATTAATGGTTGTCTGTAATTTTGGGAGATTTATTTGCTTGTTGCTTTACTATTTATTTTAGAAGATTTCAGCGGCTTGAACATTGGTTAATTGTAGTTTGGGATTCGTTGTGTAATTTCAAACATGCACATTCCTTTTTGATTCGATGTCTGTGATATTTACAAAATTGTTTAATTTCTCATCGAGCATAACTAATTACTCTTTACACAATAGAAACATTTTCATTTCCGTCTAAATTCTTGTTCGACTTTTAGGTAAAGTAAAAACGTATTTTTTCCACCACAAACAGTTGCCGCGGGTCGAGAGGTATTTTAAATACCATTTATTTTACACATCTACTTCTTTTTTCAAAACGGAAGTCAACACACGCCATTCATCAAAGCTTAATTTGGGAGCTGCCAAATACAAAAGAACCCACAAAAAACTAAGCCAAACAAAGCAAAATTCCTTTGTTACATATTTGGTGGAGTAGCGAAATTTAATGTCCAGCAGAAGAGAACTCAAATTTCCATTTTGTGTGACAGATGCGGCAGTTAAATGATAATTAATTATTGCCTAACGAGTGACGAAATCTTGGCCATGACCAGTCAGTAAAATTGGCCAAGATGCCTGAGGCAAATCAGTTTTCGGTCAAGTGGCTTTTGGCCCAATGCCCGGAGTTTGTTAATGAAGTGTCTGACTTCACTGGCGCTGCTGCTGCTGCTGCTGTTTATCGTTTTGGCCAAGTTCAATGCACGCAGCTGTTGGCTGCAACTGTTGGCCAAATTCTATGCCCAACCCACATGGCTTGGTCTGAAACATTTCGGATTTCTGCCCACAATTCGAGCGAAAAAGGCCACAAATAAGCTGAAGCATTTCCAGCGGACAGGTGTCAACCAACGATCACGCAATGAAAATGTTTACCTTAAGGCCACAAAAGCAAAATGCTGAAAAATATGCAAATCTTAAGCCTGCTTCAGTGAGAACAAAACATGAATGCAGAATGAGGAAATTAGATTGAGTGTACGCAATTACGGGTAAAATTTCACCATCAATTTATGAATATTTATTATAACACATGTTTGTAATTATTTGTATTTAATCAAATCAAAGCTCTGAGTGGAAAACATGGCATGCCGCACATTATTTGTTTGGTTACACTCCAGCAGCCAAAAACGAACTGGCGCCTCTAACAAAGCCGGGCTTAATTGCCTACTAACTTAATCAATAAATAAATAAATTGCCAAACAGGAAAAGATTTCTGATCAGAATTTCTTGCATAATTAAGTATGAATGAGTTATGGAAAGGCTGATAAGTCAGCGACTTTTGAGCGTGGCATTATCAAATGAATATTAATTCTCGGCATAAATAAATGCTAAATCTGTGGTGCACTTTTTTTTTGTTTTATGTTGTCTTTGGCAAATAGAATTTCTGGTTTGTGCTTGTTTTTATGCTGGTTGGTTATTTTCGTTTGCCCTACCACGTTTCGTGCATTTTCAATTGGCTTTCATCGGCTTACTCGACAAACGAACATGGCCCTCATAACAAAGCTGAGAAATAAAAACAAGTACACAGAAAGAAAAAACAAGACCTTTTATCTACTTTAAGAATTTTTAGTAAATTTACTATAGGAAATTTTATATTTGCCAAGAAATAAATCTGAGCTTATAATTTATAATTGCCTCGTATATTTCTATCAGTGTAGAAAAAGAAATAAATACGAATGGCGGCTAAATATACCTTCAGATACATTTGTATCCACAAGGCGCTTACGTGAGCAAACTGTTTATGACTATGAAAACAAGCCAAAATCCAAGCCGTTCCAAGAGATTTTCGATAGAACAAAATCGAATCGAGCTCGGATTTTTTCAAACACAATGGGACTGGTATTTTCTATTGAGATTCCTCCTTTGAGTTTCAGAAGCTGCCGACATTAGCTAATTGCCATAATTACCCGTGGGGCACCAGGCGGCAGGCAGCTCGAGCTCAAATAGAATATTTATGCCGGGGCAAAAACCACAAAAATCCATTACAAGTGCGGAGACAAAAGTTTTGTAGCGAAATGAATCATGCGGTGGACTCCGAGAGTGGGCAGAAATCTCAGTCATGGATACGTATATCTGGATACGAATATCTAACCATATCCAAACGGATGTTGCTCCGGCCAATATGCAAAGGGGGAAAAAGCACCGGGGAAAAGTCAGCGAGAACTGCTTTCTAACCGAAGCAAATGAAAGTTGAAACGGATGCGACTTATCCGACGTTGAGTCCAAAGAATGGACGACCTTTACCTCGTAGGCTGCCACATCCTCCTTGCCGTAAGTGGCAACCGGCGATGAGTTTCGGGGCGCGAACATTTCTCAATCTCTGCGAAGGTCCTCGAGGGCACACAAAACAACATTCCTCGGTGAGTATTCACTTATTTAGTTAATTGCAAATCTGGCTTCTTCGGCTATCTCTGCTTTTATGGCACATTTGAGACAGACGCCCACCAAAAAAAAAAAAATGTATGTATTAAGGCTATAAATTCGTAATTGTTTTTGTTCAGTTGTACTTTGTGTCTTTTTTTTGGGGGCGTTGTGGTTTCGTTTTTCGTATAATTAATAATACACTTTAAATAATACTTTTTACTGTTTTTTCGTTGCTCTTCGGCTGTTTTTGATGACTAGTCTTTATAGCATTTGTCTTGTGCTTCTCTGTTTTTTATTCGTTTTTTTTCCTTATTTTCTTTGCGACTTTGTCAAGGTCGTGTTGGGTGTTCTCTTTGTATCCGTTCGGTTCGTTGTATCTTTCAGTGCTGCGGTATCTATTTATCTTTTGTTTTTTACCACCGAAACTGAACTATAATTATTTTGTATTTTTTACTAAATTTTTTCCTGCGTTTGTTCAACTTTTGTGTAAATTTTCATAAGATATTCGTTGCACGTTTTTCGCTGGCTTGCTTGCTAATTTCTTTTTACAACAATCAAAGCGTTGCCTTATAATTATATTCAAAAATCGCTGGTCGTTTGTGGTTGCTGCGATTTGTTTTTTTGACTATTTTTTGTGGTTGTTGTTATTATCGTTGTTTTTGTTTTTTGTGACAGCCGTTGTCGCGTATCGGTTTTTAGCGCGGCTCAAATGAAACTGGCGAGATTTCAACGATTTCAGCACGACGTCGCCGATATTGAGTTGAGCCAACGGAGAGCTTGAGATATGGCAAGAGATAGATATATGGCTGAAAAAAAAGGTGAGAGAAAAACGCTCGTTTGAGACCTGTCCGATTGAGTTTTTGAGAGACACGCACACGTTTCTGTTAGATACTCAGTCTTGAAGCTCAGCAGCGAATTTGCATATTTCACGATGGAACTGAAAAACTGGAAAACACGTTTCTGGCCCCAAGTCCAAAATAGCAATCGCTGTTCTAACACGCGAAACAAGCAAACTACTTCAAATCGACTGCAACTTGGTGCGGGAGGGCCAAGAAATGGGGGATTTAAACTTAAAACACGCTAAAACAATTAATCAATTGCTGTAGTTTTGGCACCCACGATTGCCTTAATTATTTAATAATCTGCATATAC